ACGGGAGCCGCGGGCACCTGCTCCAGCCAGCCCTGGCCCAGGCAGCGCGGGGATGGTGTAAGAGGGAAGGAAGCAGCAGCAGCCGCCGGCCTTGGGAACAGGTAGGGCCTGTGTGACCCCCTGCCTTGGGCAAGGTGCGTGGAGATGCACTAGGAGCTCACTGGTTTCTTGGTCGGGGTACATGTGTGAGTGTGAGTGTGTGGGTGTGAGAGACTAGCGCCAGCCCCAAACACACTCAGCCCGGTACCCTGGCGAAAGAGGCTTTGCTTTATGCTAAGCAGGGCTGGGCATGGTTGTTCCTTGAGCGGGAGACCTTGACTAAGGACCAGCCCGGTGGAGGAAGGGGTCTTGTCTGTGCAGATGAGGCTTTCCTGTCCTATGTGGGAGGTGGGATTTGGGCTCTGGCTGGAGCCGGTGCCCCTGCCTGGGCACTTCCACAGACAGGACATTGGGTAGAAAGGCATAGCAGCAGGCTGAGAAGGGCAAGTTTTAGTGAATACAAAGGCCACTTCCACTCTTTTCTTGCCCTAAACCTTCCCCTGGGTTGTAACCCACAGGCTGGCACTCTAAATATAGTGTAGATGAGCTAGGACATGCTGCAGTCAGCTGGGCTGTCGAAAAGCTGCTATGTTCCACCCCAGAGGTGGCCGAACTTGGGAGGGGACGAAGCCCTAGGGCTTTAAAGAGGTGTAAGGCCATGCTGATGCCCCAGAAAGGTGCTTTACCCTGGCCTTTTCTACCCGGGTTCCTGAGTCCTTCTCGTGCACACAGCACCCACGCCCTCCCCCTCTGACACGCCTGTTTACACTTACATGTCTCACGGGGCGGATGTGCTGACACTGCACTAGCCATCCCCACCATGAACCTTAGCCCTGATTCGGGGCTTTCCATTGGCAAGTCCAAGTGCCTTACTGAGGAGATTGGGGGCTTGGGGCCATTTCCCAGATTGGGTAGCCAGGGAGTACCCGACCCTCCCTGAGATCCTGTACTCTGGGGCCTGCAGAGAGACATCAAGGTGAGAAGCTCTCAGGAAAGCAGCATTAAGTACCCCCTTGATCCCTGGGAGTTGGATCACGGAGAAGGCCTGATGCCCAGTAAGCGGGTCCCCTTCCTGCCTGCAGTCTGGCAGATGGTGTCTGGAGTAGGTACAGGACTGGTTGCAAGGAGCAGAGAGCAGGGAGGGACAGAGGGAAGGGGAGAGACTTGATTACCCTCCATGTAACTGGTGAGGTCCTGAGGCTTCACCCCACGGCCCCGAACTTCAGAAGTCACCGGCTGGGAATAAAGCCAGGAGGCTCCATTCAGCTCTGCCCGGTGTCTGTGCATGCACACGCACGCACATACACACACACGTGTCACCTCATCTAATGACCCCCTCTCCTAATGAATCCTTCATGGACTTGACAGCACTTGCTTTGGGCTTCACAAAAGCAGAGCCAAAGGCTTAAGGAGATTAATTAGGCGCACGGCAGCAAAGCCATGCAAATCGGTGCCGTCTGGGAGCTGCGAAGTGGGCGGTCGAGCCCTCCTGCCTGCCCCTGCCACGGTGCCAAGGGGAACGGCAGACATGCTCACAGTGCTCATGGAAGGGGTGAATGGGTGGGTGAGAAGCGTGGGTGTGTGCATTCAGGCAGGGGTGAATGGGGGATGTGTGTGCATGTGTATGTGGAGGAGGGTGGATTCATTCAGACAGGTATACACAGATGATGTATATGCATGGGCACTCACATGGAAAGGAACATATAGGTAACGTGTGTTTGCATGCACATGCAAATTGTGTGCATGTATGTGGGCATCCGAGCGCAGACAGGCACATATAGGTGCCATGCTCATCCCTGCAAGTGATGTATGTGTTGGCGAGACACGCCCTCACAGGCAGGCAGCGTGTGCTTGCTGCGTGTGCAGTTCTGGTGCATACACAGTTGCGTGTGGCAGGCTTGCAGACAGCTCCTTGGATCCCAGGTCTGCACCTGCAACAATGGCCCAGGTGCATGTTTTGCATCTGCACGCGTGTAAAATACTTGGGGGGGAGGTGTGTAAAAAGAAGCATGCCCTTCCATGCCTTGATGCATGACAGAAATGTGTCTGTGCACGTTTGTGCCATGTATGGCGATAGTGGGTGCATCTAAGATCACACATGCATGCCTGGCATGTGCAAGAAGATATAACGTGCATGGGTGGGCAATGCAAGTGCAAGGGGGCATGTGTAGAGATGTGGCGGACGGGTTCCCACAAAGGCTGCATAAGAGACCCCCTACATGAGGGCAGAGCAGAGGCAAAGCCACCCGACTGGAGCAATGGATCCAGAGGCCTGAGAGGCAAAGGCAGCAGCTCCAATGCCCCTTATCAAGGTCAAAGCCCTGAGCTTGAGTCCCCTTCCCAACCTATCCTGCCACGCTGGGGTGGCCTTAAGTATCCAGCTCCGTAGCTGCATCCCAGATGCGTTCCCATGGGGCTTTACTGCTGTGTAAACAAGGAGCAGACAGGCCGCACCAGCCCCTGGGGTAAAACCACATGGATGCAAAGCTGGTGTGTGTGCAGCTTACCCCAGAATAGGGCAAAACAGCCTCTCCTGCCACTTAGCTTCAAAAGGCAGCAACAGCAGCCTCCTGCCAGCTGCCTTGGTGGGCACAGCAGGGCGGCAGACTACCCAGGTACATAGCACTGTGTGCCCAGGCCCTGAGCAAGTCTGGCTTGTGCTTCCCTTGCACTAACCCAGTGCTCTTCTATTTGCAATCCCCAACCCCTGCAGCATCACATTAATCATCATGCCACAGGGTGGGGTCCTGATCCTGCTGAGCTGGGCACTGCCCGGCTGTGGCTGGGGTACGGCTGGGTGACTCTGCTCTGCAGCAGGTGAGGCAGAGACCAGCTCCGCTCTGAAGCTTCAAGCTTTAAGCAATGATTAAAAGAAGCCGAGGCTGCAGCAGGGGCTGGGAAAGCCCCAGGCGTGAGTGAGCTCCCAAGAGCGGGAGGCTGAGGTGGAGGAGATGAAAGCAATCCCTTGGCCTCTTGGGAGCTGTGCAGGGAGGAAAGCAGCCGGTGTCTCGGAAGAGAAGGAGCTTCTATTCTGGGCCCTGCCTGGTCCAGAGGGACATGGAGCGGGGAAGGCAAAGAGCAGGGGTGCAGGGTGGGGAGGGGCTGGGGGGCATCCAAATCATGCATCCACCCTCTGAGCAATGGGATCATCACACAGTACTCACAGCACCAGAGCCCCTCCAGGCACCGAGGCCTGGCTCTCTAGCCCCCCTACCCCAAGCACAGATCACTTGAGCATCAGTCACTTTGCGCCTCGAGACCAGCCGAGCACATTCCACCAACCGTCTGGAATTGCTTCATCTAGTGCTGCAATGCAGCTGCCTCTGGGGTGGGACCAGCAGCCCTCGGACAGAATCGCACACGAGACCCAGCTCAAACAGCTCAAGTGCCACCTAATTGCCCTCCCAGGCCTCCCATGCAAGCTGTGACCAGCCCCCCTCTTGCTAAGCTAATGGGAGCTAATGAAACCCCCAAGCAGATGGCTGCAGATAGCTTAATAATAGCCCATCGCTCCACAGAGCCGACACTCTACCTAGCAAGGCTCCCACCCTCAATCCCAGCCCCAGAGCTATTGCTCCGTCAACCCGCCTTTGAACCTAGGGCCTGGATGGAGGCGGGGGCAGCAACTGAGAATATTAGTCTCCTCTCCCTTTTCCAGTGTTTTCAGACTGTTTAGAAAGCAAACAACTGGAGGGAGAGAGAGAGAGAAGAGCAGTTCTTAATATGGCAACAGCAAATGTAATTCTATTACTGTGATTTATTGATTGCACTCTGAGCAATTACTGGCTTTCACCCCATCACCTGCCAGTGGAAGAGAGCGAGAGAGACAGCAAGGAGAAGGAGAAAACAAAGAGGCGGCCACACATGCCTCCCACCGTTTGGAAACAAGGGCCTCAGAGGAAAGCTTTGATTTTTTAATTTGGGCTCTGTTAGGAGAGATCATTTGTGTGAGCCCTCTCTCCCCCCACCTTTGGTGGGTCCTTGCTTGGGGACTGGGAGCTGCCTGCTCTGCCTCTGCTGTGGGATCACAGTGGGAATTAGGTTGCCATTGCTCAGAGGAGGGGGTTGGAGGGTGAAAGTGGGCCCTGCAGCTCCCCCCCTTGCTTTGCACAAAGCCACAGCACTGGGTTTGGGGGAGATGGGAGCAGGGGTCAGCCCCCTACCAGGTCCCAGGGCTGGAGGGTGAAACTGACCAGGAAAGAAATTGACAAGGAAAGAAACTGACCAGCCCCTTGCCCCTCCTGGAGTCTTGGGGAGCACAAGGGCTGAAGGGCTGGGGCGTGGAAAGCAGACACCGGCCAGCTCTGGTACCCTCATGGGGACAACACTTCCTCTCACCAGGGTGAGGAGCCCATCACTGCATGCGAGAAGGGGCAGAGACTGTGGAGGGAAACCGATTGGGGTCTGACCAGGGGAGCAAGCCCAAGGATGGCAAGATGCCATAGCTTGGGCCACGTTAGGGGCTGCTTTGTAGAAGCCAGTTGCTCCTGGGGGGTGTGATGGGAACTGGGGCTTCCCATCCCCGGTTGCAAGTGGGAAGAACTGCCCAGACCTGGGAGATCTGAGCAAGGTGCCTCCACCTGCTGTGGAGTCTGGCGGGGAGGCGAGAGGGCTCTCTGCTGCACCCTCCATGCCCCCAAACCTGCTTGCAGGCTGTTTTGGAGGCATCAGAAAGCAGAGCCAGCAAGAAGCAAAGGAAACCCAGCAGCAGAGCATCACCCGCCTCGCCCAGCCCTGCGGCTTTGATGTAAACAGAGAAAAGCAGCCCAGGGAGCCAAAGAGCCCGGCGCTGCCAGCTGCTTCCAGAAGCTACCCCGTCCCCACTCAAGCTAATGACTAAGCAGGGGGGCTAGAGGGGACCTTGCATCATTTTTTATGATCCCCTGCCTAGGAGGAAGGGAGCTCCTTCAAGCTCTGCTTCACCTCCAGCGGCCCATTAACCCCACAGCAGCTGGAGGAAAGCAGCCTGCACTGTGCAGGGATACGGGACCCAGATCTGAGGAGTGGGGGGCCTTGGTCCCTCTGGATCCCTTAGGGCTGTGCTTTGAACACCTCACATGGAGGTTTAAAGGGAGAAGCACAGGGCCAAAATGCTCAGCGACACCCCCAAAGCCACAGTGGGATTGGGGGACAAATTCCCGACCCCAGGCTCAGAAGGGAGCCCTAAGAGCTGGGGAGCAAACCGGTGGGTGAGGCTTGAGCTGCAGGAAGAGGGGTAGGGGGCTCTGCTCCTGCCGGGGAGGAGGAAGGGGAGGCATCTCCACCGCGCTGGGGGTACCAGCGAGGGCAGGATGCCCCAGCTCCCAGGCTAAGCATAATCCTCCACCAAACTCGGTCACAGGTCCCCTCCTCCCCACTCCCCCAGATCTCGGGGGGCTGTCACCTCGCACCTTCAGGCAGCATGGAGGGGTTGCATATAGGAAAGCAAGCTGGACCCTTCAGAGGCCTGTTGGAAAATCCCAGCCAGGGAAACGTGCACGC